TTTATTTCTTTACCTTTCTTTTTGTCAACATGGATGTCAGTATGCTAATTTAAGTGTGAAAACTGCAAGTGCTGTTAAGTGTTGTTAGGTCCTACATTGTTTATATCTGTCTGTTGCTGGTTCTGGACCCGGTTCACCTAGTTAATGTTATGTAGGTCGTATGTCTAGTGTAGATACTCGTATATTTTTCCCCAGTTATTTCCAATGTGATAGAGAGAATCAGTCACTTTTGATTACCACAGGACTGCACAGTTTTAGATGCTCAATTATTTTGTGTTTGCCTTAGTTGGGCTTCAAAGCTCTCCGTTATTGTTTATATGTTGTTCTGTTGGACGTCAAACTCAGTAATGATTTAGAGGTTGCATTTAGATCTAGTAGATGGGTGTTTTTCTAGAGGTATATTCCTCCACAACATATCTGGTTAGATTTTAAACTGAAAGAGTACCATGAGATCGGTTATGGTATTAGTCCGCCTCGTAGATATCTTCATAAGTCTTTTGCAGTTACGACAAATCAGTACAGAAGAGAGTGAGCAAATATAATGTGAGAGTTGTAATTGTTGCTCATGTCTCAGAATCGTTCACATTGGTGCAGATGCATCCACACATTATCTTCGTTTCATTATCTTTATATCACATTTCGTTGTTGGCTTTATCCTTCTCTCTTCTCACAATTTTATGGAACTTTTGATTACGCTTATTTTTCACTTCTCTATCACTTTGGTGCCTTGCATCATTCTGTACTGATGTGGAGGTTAGCAACTATGAAGTAGTAATGTCAGGTGCCATGTGCATACTAATTGACTGATAGACTGATTGTTGCGTGTGACTTGGCAGCCTCACCACTATGTTAGATGACAGCTCTGCTCAGATTTATGTTAGGTGCAAGTGTTTTTCATCAACAGTGATCCATGTGTTTTCAAATAATTCTGGGTATTCGGTTTGAATGCAAGTTAAATTACATCCTTTTTGTGTGATCAATGTAAATATGTTGTTTAATGATTGGATAATCAGAGTTATGCATATAAAACGGTGTTGGATTTCACTCCGTGCAGCACATGAATGAAGTGCAGAAATCAAAAGTCTTTGAAGATGAAAATTCGTGATTGCTTGTGGAGCATGACGTGCGAGTTATAGCGCTTTTGATTGCATCTTCGTTATTGCACTCGTTTCTTTTATGTTATTCTCTCTGTCCGTTGTCTCCTAATATCTCATGGCACTTAGAGTTAATGAGACTCAATGACTTAAGATAATATAAGACAGAGTTTGGAACTTGAGGTATTGGTTGCCATGCTCTAGTTTTGTTTGATCATATGTTTAAAAAAATATAGTTATGTGGCTTATTTGCTGAGGCGATTGGCTCTGGTTTAGGTTTTTACACCTACTGCGGCTTGAACTTCCGAGTATTATCATACATCCTCACACAAATAATTTGTCTCATAAACTTATAAGTAAACCTGTGCCGGATTGTGTTGCATGAATTACTCCAGCAATGAAAAGCAACACAAATGCCATAAAAAGACTCATCTGAGCGTATTCTCTCTTACCGACTATCTAATTACGTTTCTGTCTCTTTTCTGACCGCTTCTCATTTTTGGTTACACATTGCTGTTGTATAACGTTTCGTTGTACAGTATTTTAGTACTCCTGCTGCAGAGTTTGTGTGTAAATAGATATACATAACTGAAGTAGCTAACAAGTTCTACATGAGTTCTAATAAGCGTCAATGTCTCCATAACTTAATAATATATGGTGTTTCAGTTGCCTCTGTGAATACTATTCATTTAATTCTGTTACATGAGCATAAATCAAAATGTCATTACTCTTTTTCTCTGCTTTCGGTATATTTTAGTGCCCAGGCTCATGCTTCTTCCCAAGCAAACGAGGAAGGTTCAGCAAAAGCTCAAGCTTCTGCTGCTGCCTCTTGTGAAACGTCAAGTCATCAAGTTCAAGAACGTGTTCGTATATCTAAACCATCGTGTTCTACCATTGCGACAAACGAATATATGTCAGCGGTTGAGCTGCGTCTCTCAAGACTTGAAAGACGAATATCCCACTTAGAATTTCAACAAGTTTTAATCAAAAGTGGATTGACAATATATATTCTGTATCGTATTATGCGGTGGATTATTAGAAATACCTAGTAGAGTGTATATTCTGCTTGTATATTTAAATAATTCCACTTTATAAAATGTATAAATGTCTACTTCAAACAGTATGGATCTATATACTTTGCCAATACCACCTCAGTGATATATAATTGTCTTCTTTCTTATCCCTTTGTAAAACACTTATTTTTCAGTCATCTTCATGATATATATATATATATATATATATATATATATATATATATATATATATATATATATATATATATACATTAGTTTCGAAACACATGAGATGTAAATCATTCAACGAGAAATAGACGAAGATTGTTCCCTTGGTTTTACAATTTTTCATGTATGATCTTGGTGTTCGTCCTGCCTGTATGTTGGTTATGGATATGACTGCTGTCTTGTTTTTCTCTTCTAAATATGTATAACTCCTATCTAAGCATTTTCACATTTTGGAGTTGTCACTCCTTGACCTCGAAAGATGACTTTCAACTAATGGTTCATGGGTTCGAATACTGCTCCACTTACCAAAGAGGTGGGAGTTGCTCATTGGTGTCATTATCCCTCCTACAATAGATGTGACCTTCTTACCTACTGCACAAGTGTAAACAAGGTTGTTTCAATGCGTTTTGATTGAAGACATTCAGCATTCTGTTCATTTTATTACTCTGTGATAGCTCTTCAGTGGTTAGTAAATCTCACAGTGGTTATCGTTAAGTCAATATAGTAACACATTTAGTAACAGTAATTACAAATTTCGAGTTAATAACAATGCTAGTAATTACAGAAATCGTGAAATAATGAAGTAGCTGTACATGAAAATGAAGAAGAAATAATGTATCCCGAACCAGTTTCCTGGAGGTTGCAGATAAACTGTTCCATCAGAGAGTTCCAGCAAGTCAATAATGATTAAACGTCCCATGAAACAGGTTTTTTTTTTTTAGAATTTTTCATCATTTATTATTAGTTAGTTACTGTCTTGTAGTTTATCTTCCAACTTTCATGATTTTGCCTATCCTATTCGTTCACTTTTTACATTCACATTGCTTTCTGCAAGGTTTTGAAATATATTAAGGTGTTGACTTGAATAAGCATAGTAATCTAAGCTTAAGGAGTTTAATCAGCTTATGGTTTTGCTAACAAAAGATTGCTTTATATATATATATATATATATATATATATATGTATATGATGTAATGGAACAACAGGATACTAAATGAGTAGAATGCACTTAGCTACCATATGTACACTCGCTGCAGTGGGCGATAAGCCATAGCTAGTTGTATGGGGGCTAATGATACTACTACCTGACTGCTTAGAATCTTTTTAGGTGCGGTGTTGTTCGAACCCCTACCTAACTCAATGTTTACATGTCAACAGAGTGTAGATTTGTACAGTTTTTTTAATGAACAACTACATGTATTGCATAAGGCATGTTATCCTATATTCATGTCTCCAGATTTTAATAGATGAAGAGGCATTCCAACTTATCACTTTCTAGTGGGAAGTTTAGTGCTGAATTCAATGGAACTTAAAACTTTTGTAGGTCTAGTGAACTAACTGTTCAATCAAATCAGTATACATAGAGATGTTATATTATTCTAAACAAATATAAGATTTTCTTCTGCAGCTAAGAAACCTTTAGTTTGAAATGGTGCAAAATATTTGTAGCTCAAGTGAATAACTTTGGTTGTATTGTGTTCTCTGAGCTGGATTGTTTAATCGTGGAGATTTCACCGTCTTTCTAGACGACATCATCAGCACTAACTCCAGTATAAAGTGAGCTGTCAATCTCTCCGTGAGTGATTAGTGATTTGGTAGCTTGCCCTGACCAACTGGTTTGTGATTGGTTGTTTTCTTTGGTTGTTGTGCCGTTGACAACAACCTAATAACACACGAAATTACTTGGGTGCAGATTCTATTCAAAAGAGCGAGAACACACTACATTACAACAACGAAGAAAGTTACTTGGTGTGTATCCTGAAGAAAAATGGCTACCCACGAAGTTTTATCAAAAGATGCCTATCCCGTACATCATCAACTACAAAGTCATCGACAGAAATCAATAAACGCACGTAATGAATATATCAGAAATCAAGACAGAATTACGGAGACCACTTGGAATTGGTGTGGCTCATAAACTAATAAATCCCCTCCAAACACTATAGTGCAGACCAAAGGATGTAACAACCAAAGAAGACAAAACGAATATGATTTACAAAATCAACTGCAATAACTGTAGTCAATATTACATTGGACAAAGTGGCCGGCCCACTTTCACCTTCGTTTACATCAACACCAATTAGCTATGTAAACGCCACGAAATTTCATCACACATTTCAATGCACGTGGATAACAACTATGAACATGAATTCAATTTTGACAATGTAGAAATCTTGGATAGAGAGAGAGAGAAAACACATAAAGAATGTCATCAGAGAAGTCCTAGAAGCTTGGCATTCAGACATAGACATAGACCCATTCTATCAACCAATGAGAAAAACGATAAACGACAGAAAGGTGAGAGGTGAAGCAGAAGCACAGCCAACAGGAAAATCTGTTCAATCAGTCAATCAAAGGAAACAACCAATCACAAAGTAGTTGGTCAAGGCAAGCTACTAAATCACTCGCGGTAAGATAATGATAGCTGACTTCATACTGAAGTTAGTGCTGATGATTGTCGTCTAGGAGAAAGACGATGAAGGCTTCTTCATGATTGAACAACCCAACTCCTCAGAGAACACAATACAACCACAACCTTTAGTTTGTATAAATTTGTAATTATTGAAAGAAAGTTTCAGTGTTCATTTAAATTGTAAATGTAATCATTCTTATTTATTAGTTATATCCTATAGAGATGTATGTTTCACCTAAAATTTTATCCACAGGAACCTAAGTAGATATGTGAAGTAAGACTATTACCCAATTTTGAATTTGTGAATACATTATGTAAAGTGCTTGCTTGTTTGCTTGTTCATGACTGACCCCAGTATACTTGGATTGACAAATTTCATGGAAATATTATTTCGAAGGTATATCTCTTTGATGCATTCAAAATGATTATTTACAGGTAAATACTGACTGATTAAACTGACAAAATCAACGTAGAACCTCGTATACATGTGCATCACCACCATCTCCCACACTTCACAATACGATACAAATAACAGGTGGATAGAATAAGAGTGATATCAAAGTGGAGAACGTAATGTGAGAGAATAGACAATTTGAAGATAAAGTTTAGTATGAATATTCAAGCTTTACAAGGTATCAAGGAGTGAATAAATCTGTGCCACTGTCACCAAGTGTCCTCAATCACTAATTCCTTTTGTTTCGGTGATCTCAACCAGCCAGTCTACATCTCCTCAGTTAAGGGCTGGTGCCACATCTTAGTGTGGTCACCTTGAACCCACTTTCCACCTGATCCAACTTCAGCTAGTATGGCACGTTGAGGTAGGTGGTGGATTGGTTAGGCATGTGCAGTGCATCTCCAAGCCATCTTAGTCGACTAAGATAAATAAGTCTTAGTATTGTTAGCTAACTTGTTACAGATAGATTATTTCACTTATGTGGTTGTATATCATTAACCATTCAAAAGTGTGGATTCCATTCCTATTCTTAATTTATACTGGATGAAATGAAAATTTTGACTGCAGCCGGGTTCGAACCAGAGACCATTGGGTTTTCAACCCGATGCTCTTCCAACTGAGCTACGAGGTGACTGAAGTGAAGTGAAAACTTGGTCAGCAGTTGCACTTCGTAGCTCAGTTGATGAAGCATCAGGCCAGTAGCCCAGTGGTCCCTGGTTCGAATCCGCCCGCGGTCGAAGTTTTCATTTCACCTTTAATCATCACCCAGTATAAATACTAGTCTACCAAACTACGGCTGTCTTAGATAGTCAAATAACTATTCTTAACTGTTATAGGCTTTACTATGGAGTAAAGAATGTTTCATATTCACATATAATTCATTCACTTTTCACCCTAAGAGAAGTATCTGTTTTTTATTCAATCTTATTTCTTAATGTTGTATTCCATATTCCTTTAGATTACATCACTACTGAAATGATTTTCACTCCTTTTTTAAATTTAGTAGAAAATAATGCCTAACAGGATTTCAAAGAGTGCTAAATTCAGGTTTCATCAATCTTATTGTGATAGTCTCAGTTATGTTGAGTAGACGTTGGTGAGCTACATGTGGTATTGTTATTCGCATGTGATGTATAATATTCAAAGTGGCTATGTGATGCGCTTGTGTCTGCTACATGTGTTAAGATGGAAATTCCACCTCTTCTTTTCCAAACCAGCCTGTCAAATGTTCTCATATCCGTAGACTCACTTGTTCCACAGGGACAGTTAAAATAATATATCCAAGATGATGATCAATTTAATCCTTGGAGTGTAGAAGAAACTACTGTGTTTATGTGATATTTTAGATGAAAAAAAATGATCATCCTGGAAAGATCATCAAAGCTAACATCATTTACAGTAATCCCAAATGAGAATTGATGACAATGGAGAAGAAGCCTTAGCTTTCTACGCTTACAATTCAAGGAAGATGCTGTAAGTGACATTCTATCACAACACCTAGATAGACAAGTCAAGAGAATGTTTTATGCAGGTCGGCTTTGCATATCATTCAGTAGTCGACCAAAACTCAATCCGAGACTGAAAAATAGCCTACCTAATCTTAGCCCTGTGGAACTAGTTACATAGAGCGTACGATTAAGCAGGTGTGTCTCCGGATACGAAAGCATTTACCAGGTTGGTTCCGAAAAGGTGAAGTGAAAGTGGTATGAAGTTCAGTCCTAGCGCGTTTAGTTGACACAGGGCATCACATAGATGCTAATAAGGATTTCAATGTCATTCATGATGTTCTAAAAACGATACTACATGTAGCTCATCAACGCTTGTTCAACATAGCTGAAGTTGTCGCAATAAAACTGATCAAACGTGGACTTTGTATTCAGAAAGGACATGTCCAGCCAAAATATTGATTTTCTTATAATCCCTAGTTCTCATTTCATTTTGAAAATGTATTCACCTCAAGTTGTTGCTTTCTGTTAACAGGATTTGTTTAGTTTCTCTAACTTTATAAAGTTTTGTTACATTTTTATGCAATAACGAACTATTTATTTTCTTATTTCAGAAAGGTAAGTCTTTTCTTCTCATCAATCTACCTTCTTGAACTTGACGTGTTGAGCGTAATTAATCCTTGTTTTACACAATTTGTGTTATTTTTAGTAAGGTCTCTCATTTGTGCTCCAGTAGGTAGGAATATAGCTGTTGTGAAATAATGTATAGGTTAGTTGTACACTTGACTGGTTGGATGATCGGACTGGATTACTTACTTACCTCATGATTCAATAGTTTTTGCTTCATTGTAATCGACTGGTGAATGGTCCATGGCCCAACCGAGGCGTAGTAAAACGTAACAGTCACTTAAGAATGGGTATTAGTTAGTATTGGAGTTGAAAACGCGCGTTTGGGACGTGCTACTTTAGACTCGTCAGTTGGATATGCCTGCCTCCCAGTGAATGATGGTGTTCCATCTTGGACTCCTTGTGCAATGGATTTCCTATTGTTGATCAATTTGGACCGAATTGATAAACATCTGTTGGCTAATGACCTCGATGCAGCAGCTGATAATTTGAATATTTCATTGTTAACTATTTCCGTTGCACCAAAGACAGGCTTCGTTCGATGTTTGAAGCTATGCATGATGCTAGGTTCAAGTGCCAGTGAGAAGATAACCGCTCACGTCACGCTAATAAAGGGAAGTATACGTCGTGAATCCCCCCGCTAGCCGCTATCCATCCTGAACACTGACTATTATATCAAAGCATCCTTAAACAAGTCGATATGTCTACAGAGATTGATCAGTTTACTTCAAGTCAGTCGATAGTGCGGAATTAGGCTCCAATATTTACAAAAATGCAACAAAAGTGAAATTATTATGACATAACCTTGAGACAAAGAAATACAGACAGTCAATAAATTCTTCTTCAATAATATACTGAATAGGTTAATTAATCTACAAATATTCACCACAATTTCTGACTGAATTGCTAAATCTAATTATGAATTTGTAATCAGTAAGAATTCCTTCTTTGATTTCTTTATGATATATTAGTAAAAAATAGTCCTAGTACTTTATTCATTCAGCCATTCTGTATTGTTTGTATCTTCAGAATAATGACCATTAGCAACAATATTGAAGATGCTAAACGTGAAAAGTTAGTTGAACGAGTTCGTATCTCAGTTGTTGTATTTTGGATTTTATCTATAATATTCTTAATAATTGGTATAACAGTCCTGTCAATGTATCATAATTTAAACGAGTAAGTAAACGTTTTTTTCTGTTCATACTTTCTCTGTAGTCTTTTTTTACGATATATATATATATATATATATATATATATATATATATATATATATATATATATATAATGCTTCGACACGATACGATTAACAATGGAACAATAACTTCTGAACACAATATTCAACTGACACCAGAAGGAGGAGACAATAAGATTGAAAGTATGCGTACTTCAACGGAATCGTCGTATAGATGACCTTGACCAGAGAAAGTGCGAAATGAACCAATCAGCATTTAGTATCCCAAACCGCGGTAAAAATAAGTAATGTAGCATGGCACAGAAAAGGCGCTAAAATAAGGTTGAAATTTTACGAGTTAGTTTTTGTTAGAGATTCATCATCATTAATATAAACATAGGACCAGGCACTACTGCGTAACGGTCCTAGTTGCCACAGCTCATATCAGTACATCAAGTAGAAAGGGTAGTGAGGTGAAAGATGAAGAGAATGCAGTCAAAAGAAATTTAAAGTGCGGTTCTGAACCTATATGGCTCAAGCCAACAGTCAGAGACTTCATGTGTCAGTACCATGTTTTAGTCTTAGAGATTTAGGCATCCCTAACACTTTTGCACCATCTATACACTTTTTATGCAGTAAAAGATATTTAAGTATTTTCTTAGTTTATGTACTCACCCATTAAAAGTACTTTTTCTAGCTTTGTTTGCGTTGAGCTAAAATCATCTTATGCGTAATATCAAGATCGAGTGTTTGCAATAAATGAGTGTGGTTGATTTAGATTGATTATACGCCTGGATGAATTGATGTATATGTATATGTACAAACGCACCATTTTCAAGGTCATTCACTGATTGGTTAATGCTTGCTTTTACGATGTTAGTGTTTCAAATTCTGGACAAGGTCATTCGTCATGTATGTATATACGTGTTTTTGGGTTAATTGACTCATCTTCTTGGAGGTAATAAACTGTCCTATTCAGTATAGTTTCCTTCTCTATTTCGTCCGGGATTGGAGTCAGTTAATCTGGTGTACAAAGTTAGCTGTCAGTCAACGATGTGTGTTAGGAACATAACAAATAACTAAACACGAAATCGTTTTTCTACGTTTTGATGTCTACTATTCCAGCTGGATCAGTATTCATTATAAAGCTTTAAGAAAGTGTATGCTAAGCATTAAGTGATCACTGGTGAAGGGTAACCAATTTCATATTGTCTACTTCTGAGTGCTGGGCTAAATCCTATCGATCATTTTTCGTAATATGACCAACGGACTAGGTGACTTGGTGATTGGAAGTAATCAGCAGAATGTCCTGGACCTCCTAGATTTCGTAGTTGTTGGCACTCGTCAGCAAGACGTGGGTTTCAATCTCAGGCGGGACATAAGTTCCGTCGACGTTGTAGATACCCCTTACTGACGAGTGCCAACATACGCGAAACTCATGTGAGCCAGAGCTTTCTGTCGATTGCCTCCAACCAGCTAACAAGTGTATGCTATGAGAATTTTTCGCATAAGTGGTTTATTAACTGAGATAACCTGTGGTAATCTGATCCTTTATCTGAGTCCAAGTGATTCACGAAGTCGGCAGTCTGATCTTAATTATTGAGATACAAAAATTAATGAAATTTCCCATTGTATTTAACTGCTCATATTCATGCATCAGTAACATATTTCATATTTCCATGAGAGTTTTGTTCTTTTGAAGACAGTAAACGTTCATCTTAACAGAAAGTTTTCGATTCAATTGAAAAATAACTACTGCACTATGAAAATTTTCACTGAAAACCTTCCAGTTTACAAGTAATATACAAATGTCACCCAATGGTTCCTTCAAAATGAATCGAAACACATTCAATAATGTTTTGCACATTCTTGCAGTAGGCTGTGAGTCACACCTGTTATAGGAAGGCTGGTGATGATGATGCTACTATCTAACTGCCCAAACCACTTCGGTAGGTGAAGCGGTATTCGAAATTACGCCCCTGGTTAAAAGTCAACTGCCTGAGCCAATGAACCACATCTCTACGAATAGAGTAGTCTGGTAAAGACCAGTCGACCACTTCACTTACTTAGGGAATTGTATCAGCCTGAACGAGCTGGTTGCCAACGGAATCTCAACTCGTATACAGAAGGCCCGCTTGATATTCGCCAACTTGTGTCACCTGTGGTGTAGGCGAGATATTCGGTTATCTATCGAAGAATGAGTGTACTGCGCTGCGGTCCATTCGGTCTTGTCTTACGACTGTTCGTATGTGGTGGAATCACCATGTGAGCAGTGTTGAGGTCAATCAGGCGAAGGGTGTTAGATAAGACAGGCAAGTCGATTGATGAGGTTGTGAACCTTAGTCGACTAAGATGGCTCGAACATATACTGCACATGCCTAACGAATGCACCACCTACCTCAACGTGCCATACTAGCTGAAGTTGGATCAGGTGGAAAGTGGGTTCAAGATGACCACACTAAGATGTAGCACCAGTCCCTAACTGAGGAGATGTAGACTGACTGGTTGAGATCGCCGAAACAAAAGGAATTAGTGATTGAGGACACTTGGTGACAGTGGCACAGATTTATTCACTCCTTGATACCTTGTAAAGCTTGAATATTCATACTAAACTTTATCTTCAAATTGTCTGTTCTCTCACATTACGTTTTCCACTTTGATATCACTCTTATTCTATCCACTTGTTATTTGTGTAGTATTGTGAAGTGTGGGAGATGGTGGTGATGCACATGTATATGAGGTTCTACGTTGATTTTGTCAGTTAATCAGTCAGTGTTAATCTGTATGTATGCACACTGTAGATCAGTGACAGTAGACACACATGCTGTTCGCTTTCTACTTTACACTAGCCTCCTAGTGATTAGATCTTTAACTGTGATAAGTTACCTAAGTTGTAGACTCATTTGTTTCTTGAATATAATTTGATCATACTTTCTTGAGTAAATTTGCTCATCTTACAGTCTGTTGATTGTATTTGTAGTGTTCTTATACGCATATATCATAATTGATGTCTTGTCAGTTATTGTATGCACTAGTTGTTCGAATTAAACGAGATTTTGTTTTGTGTTTTCCCATGATGGATGGTTTCAAAACATGTTGTCTTTCACTGCTCACCATTACCGTTATTGTTATTATTATTATTATTACTTTTACTTATGGTTTTAGTTAGTGTCTATTATTTGTGTCGTGTCGTGTCGTGTATACATACAGCTAGAATAGCTAAGTGGTAACCTATTTGAATGTATTACTGATTGCTTTAGAAACCGGAATGCACTCAATGACCTTGTGTACACACCCATGCGGTGGGCAGCAATGAGCCACACACACCTGCTGTGTAAAGATTTATGATGGTAAGCTGTGGTATTTAAACAATGTGTCACAGGCGTTTGAACATTCCACTTCACTTCCTAGGATCTAAATAATCATATAAATTGATTAACCCTTACACAACAACTATGGCTCATTGCTTATTGTATATGTGTAAAGTTGACTTGAACCCCTAGTTCTTATTGGTTCTCATTCGAGATTCTAGTATAGTAACTAGTAAGAGGATCCAAGACGTGCATTTCCTCCACTTTTGGTACTCGTCATCTGAATGTACCTGTCTCTCAGTGAGCAATATTCTTCCCATGGAACTGTAATTCATTGGAGATGATTATCAACGCTTGGGTCACGGGTTCTAACCCCCTTGCTCCTACCCAGGTTTGAACAGTCAGGTAGTGTCACAAGCCTTCACACAAAAGGTGTGGCTTATTACCGCCTACTGCACAGGTGTGAACGTGGCGGCTGAGAGCGTTTCGTTCGATGTTCTTCCCCACCAAAACTCAAGCTGAAGACCATTCCGTTCAAAGCTGAAGAGTTATACACCGGACAACCGAATCAAGATAGCCACAACTTTATGTGCACTATTATTATTATTATTACTGTTAATGCTGAGGAATCCCATACTAGGACGAAACAGCTGTCCAGTACTCCCAGGTTCTCAATGGTTCCCCAACTGATTTCAGTCCATGATGAATACTACTTCTAAAATTAAAAATCCCCATTCATCTCAAAAATACATTACTGTTATTATTATTATTGAACTGTCGATTTTCTTTCCTTTAAATAGATCTTCTCAATATCCTGGTACTGTTGCTGGTACATTTTTCTTAGTATCCAGTGTACCATTGATCATATGCAGTGGTTGCCTAACTAGTGCCTTATTGATTATTCAAGAGTCAATTCAAGATGAAAGAGACTACCGTTGTCGTGATCCAGAGTTTTATAAAGATGTTAGTTTGTATTATTGTGTTGTTTCCTGTTAGTATTATTTTACAACGTGTTTTGATGCTATTAAGGTTTATTATTATGATTATTATTTGTTCCTTGAGTTCCTAGTGGAACATAGGGATTCAGTAGCACGTCGCCATTTCACTCTCTTCTCTGTAGTCTTCTTAGCCTGGCTTCACGACTGCCCATAAACTTTCATTTCTTCCTCATACCATCTCCTCTTTGTCACCTTTGGATGCCTAACTTGTCGTTTCCCATGCGAGTTCCACTCAACGGCCTGGTGCGTGATGTCCCCCAAACGGTCTTCTTAATGTATGCCCGATCCATCTCCACTTTTTTGTGCATATTTGTTGGGCGATAGGTTCTTGCTTCGTTGGTTCATTGCCAGATCAGAGTTCTTTGTTGCTTATTCTTTCTGACCATCTGATCTCCAGTAATGAGTGAGCGTGATCAATGTCTGTACTTTGTTGGAAATGCTTTTCATAACGCACTAAGTCTCCCAACCTTCACATTGAAGCACCGACTTACTTGACTGGATTAGTGTTAAAAATCCGGATCTTGTTCACGCTTTATCCTGAGTGCAGTAGATCTCCAGACTGATTTCAGGTTAATGAAGGCCTGTTTTGCTTTTCCGATCCTGACTTTGATGGCCTCATCTGTGCCACCGATTGTATTTGAAACGATGCTGCCTAAGTAGGTGGAAGAGACCACTTCTTTTAGATTTCTCCCGTTGTCGGTGATTGGTGCTTGTTGTTGTTGTTGGTTGGTCTGAACCTACATCTGCTCCTCTTCACGATCTTGTTTCCAGTAGGCTGCATCTCCACTTTCTTGAAATTGAGATGAAGTCCATCTGATTTTTAGTGTAGTGCATCCATCTGGTGAAATCCACGTCGCTTTGTGAATATCCTTGTGTTTGCACACACTACCTCCAATCACCAAATCACTAGATGTGCAGAAATCTGCAAACAGTTCTCATTCATCATTTCACTGAGTGCTTCTCGACCCATGATAAGTTCGCTTCCTGTATTGTCCGCTCCCATTTTGTCATTCATGTCACCCATTAGAATTTTGATGCCGACATTTGAGGTGTGGTCTTGTCCATTACTGATTGCAGTTGTCTATTGAATTCCTCCCTCTTCTCTTGATCTGCATTATTTATAGGTGCGTAGGGTAGCACTGTATGATTGTAACTTTCCTTCCTTTTGATTTGTTTCTTGCTATTATGATCCTGGCAGAGACTGTTTCCCACTGCATGAAAGCCTTCGATGCTGTTGGTGACATCGTGATAGCCACTCTCTGAGTGAGTGTGCTCGTGGTTGTCTGGGTGACAAAATCGGAGTAGATTATTGACTCTCCAGTTGACAGTTTGGAGAGTGCGCTTCCATTCCACCTGCTTTCTCAGATTCGTAGTACTTCTATGCTATACCTTCTCATCTTTGCAATCTGGGGAGCCTTGCTAGGTTCATACATGGTGCAGACATTCCAAATCCCCATGTTTACTTTCGCTTTCATCGAGAGAGAGGAGACACATCGGCCAATTGGTTTCCAGAAGGCTTTCACGAACCGGTGTCATTTCGTCTCTCCGATTCCAACGAGGAATAAGTTTATTATTATTTTTTATATTTCCTTTTTGTTTTGAAGGTTCTTTAGCGATTGGATTGGTTTTAGGGGGTAGAGTTGCTAGCCGCATGCCTAACCTTCCCTCTTGATCCAGCTTTAGAACCGGCTAGTAACTAGTGAACTAGTTAACCAGGCGGTGTTAAGGTTAATTATACACATACTTATTGGATAGAAATGATTCACTTCATTGAATCTAACCAACGCCTGGATATAATGATAACTATAATCTCACTTTTTGCATGGATGGGTGGTTGTGTATTGAACAGTGCATGTTCGAATCTCTATGGAAATAGTTGAATGTCTGCAAGGTTGAAGTTACTGACCTATGGGGGGGGTGGGAGGAGGGAGGTGTAAACAATAGGAATCAGTGGTTATGAGGATTTTTTGGTGAAATAACTGAAAAGTGATCACAATAGTGCAGGTGTATTTACTCTGTGACGTCTACCAAAGTTCGAATCCCTTGACTAGCCTTCATTTTTAAATTCCTTACCCTTTGTCTACTTTAATATCACTCCTTTTCTATTCACTTTTTCTTTGTAGTTCTACTGTGAAGTCTGACAATTTGAAGTGATGCATTTGTATGCAAGGTTCTACGTTGACTTTGTCTGTCTGTGTTGACGAGGGTTAAAGTTTTTTTTGACCAACTATTACTTAACGGTGGGGACGCAGCATTTATGATTATCTTCCTAATGTTATATGATTTATTAACCCCTTTTTTAATTGATTTATTATGAATCTAATTTGCTGGATTACGTTTTAATTCAGGTTGGTATTCATCATGAACTGACATTAGTTAGAGAAACACCGCTCCACCTACTGATGTTTTGACAGTCAGGTAGTATATCATTAGCCATCAAGAAATAGATATGGCTCATTGCCTACTGCATGAACATGAATATGGTTGTTGAGTAAATTTCGACTTTTTTCCTTCTAATCTGACGAGATGTTCGACTATCTATCAAAGCATAAGTGAGTATAGTTTTCTGCTGTTCCTTCTATCCTGTCTTACGACTGAGACATGGGGGTTGAGGGGAGAAGACATGAAGCCATTACAGGTGTTTCATCATAGATGTCTTCGGAGCATTGCTTGCATTTGGTGGGATTGAAAGAAGCAAGAAGACAGATACGAAGGAAGGAATGTTTGTTGTCAGTCAGTGGCACAGTAGTCGTTAATTAAGCTACATGTTGCACTAAAACCGTCATTTGCAAAATGTGTTTTATTTCCTCTTCTGTTTCTCTCTTTTGATTTGCTCTTAATACTCCTGCGTTCCTCTTGACAGAATCCTTACCCATTGCTGGTAACTTTCTATGATTCCTGGCACCCTCTCAACATATACTACTTATATCTATTCTTATCAGCAACGCCCACTACAGAATCACCGTGTGAGCAGTGCTAAGGTCAATCAGTCGACTGAGATGGCTTGGAAATTTGCTGAGTATACGTAGCCGGTTCACCGCCTACCTTGGAGTCCTTTGCTAGGGTAAGTTGAATCAGGGTTCAGGGTGATCGAACTAAGACGTGGCACCAGTCGATGACATCTCTGACTATTGATCTTAGCCATGTGTCAGATGTAGACTACCTGGTTTTGGTCGCTGAGATGAAAGGAATCAGTGGTTGATGAGAACATTTGGTGACATGGGTGAAGATCGCTACATTGGCACCGATTTGTTCACTCCTTGACATCATCTAAAGCTTGAATATTCACACCAACCTTTATCTTCAAGTTATTTATTCTCCCGGAAAACTTTGTCTACTCTGATATCACTCTTTTTCTATACACTTGTTTATATTCTATTGTGAAGGGTGACAACTTGAAGCGATGCACTTGTGTACGGTGTTCTGCGTTGATTTTGCCTATCCTTTCCTCCTCTTATCCGTTTGTATATCTCACCACTCCCCCATGTGCTAAAGATGTTCAAAAATCAGTTATGCCTTATACATAATGAATGAATTTCAGTTGTGTTGCTTGTAGTATGTACTGGAAAACTTAGGAAATAGACTCATCAGATTACTTCTTTGCAAGATTCCTGCTCTAACCATTAACCATGTTTATAAAGGATTAGTGTTACATGTTAAAATTGATTATAAGTGTCTAAATAGTATTCATTTCATGAAGCTTAACAACATACTTGAGCGAAGAATAGGCGATCATTGTAATATACTTTCTCCATTTTTAAAGTGAATTTTCATTTTCGTAGTGGTTTTAGTTGGCAAATGTTTCAGTGTCATAATAGACATCACCTTTAGTTTAACTGAACTTCATAAAGAAGTCAAGCAACTGACTGTGCATGCTACTTTATCTGAGTCGAACCTGAGTAGTGTAAGTATGATCATATCTTTGTTCACCGTATGTTGAAGTTGCTTCATTGTGATTGGTTAGCTCTTCCCTTATTTGTAGCGGAGAGTGCTTCACGTTGATTGGTCAGTTTTCTGCAACTAAAAGAGGCGTTCTTTACCATTTCTGACTAGTTAACTTTTACTGGAGAGAGTAATGCCTTAATATTGATTATGTGTGATGTGAAGTATCAAATTTTCAATAAGATTTACAAACCGTCACACGCCTAATGGCTTCACTCCTGCTCAATATTGTTATGGACATACTAATGGAAATCTCTGTAGGTATCCCTGAATTTTACAGGGATTGATTCAATTCATTTAGATTACGTAGACGAGATAGTTTTGTTATGGGGAATATGCTGACAAAATGCAGTCTTTTGAAACCTTTGAACAGAAATCTAAGAATGTTTGGTTGGCATACATATCCCACCTGTTAAATGTAAGATGGACGCTTCAGTACTGACCTACACTGATCCCTGATTTCAACTATAGGGAGTAGATTGGTAGAATATGTATTGACCGATCCACCTAATTAAGGAGTTGCATCAGCCCGAAATCTCAGGTCTAACATTTCGCAACTTGCACCATCTCTGGAACCAGCAAGAAATCCTAGTGATAGATAAATATACTGCTCTGCAGTCCTTTCAGCTTATCATACGATTGTGAGACAGACTTTGAAGGCAGAAGATATTAAGAGATTGCATGTTTTTGTGACTAAAGTTACCTTGGTATCATTGCTTGAATATGATGAAAACATCTTGTGAATAATGTTGGGGTTATGCGAAGGGTACTAGGCAAGAGGTTATGAACCTTCACCGACTGAGGTGGCTTGGATATGTATTGAGTATGCCTAACTACTAACTGCCTTGACGTGAAATATCAGTCGATGTAAGACTGGATTTAAAAAAAAGCTGGAGATGGCCAGCTCAAAAGCTAGCACAGTTCGTCAAGGTTTTTGACTGTTGGTCTGTGCTGTGTAGGGAAGACATCTTCGAAGTCGTGAATACATTCACTGACCTATATTTCTTTCTTATGTTTCTTCGCATACACTTGTCTGCTTTAATATCACTCTTGTTTTTTTCATCCTGTTATGTAGTGTGGTAACTTGAAGTGATTCACTTGTGTGCTGCCAGGGGGAAGGGAGGTAACAGCATATCATTTTACGCCGTTCTTTGCATCATATAATATCCTAGTTTACATATGTACTCAGTTTATTTTAGACTTCTGCAAACAAAAGCAGGTATAACTTCCCGTTGATGTACTCCGTTGTCTTCCCGGGTCGAATTGTTCCACCCATGTTGGCACATGCGCTCTTATACGGACGCCTCGATATTGCTTGGATATTTATTACGGTAATTTCCTTGGTTTTAGCTGGCAGAAAAATCTAGGAGGCGCGTTTTGTCCTATTTGGGACAGCTGACGAGTTTCGAGTTGGACGAAACACGCATCCTAGATTCTTCTGCTAGGCAAAACCAAGTCAAAAAAACCAACCATAGATAATTGCAATAACAGTAAAAAAACTTTAAAATTCTATTTGACTATTTATAGATTCCATATCCACGTCAACCATTCAAACCAGTACAATCATCATCATTATCGCCTATGTCGTATCCTTCTGCTCCGCCTGTGCCAATATTTGAAACTGATCAATCAAAAATTTTCCAGTCCACTAATCAATATGGAAGTTTTCATCCACCTAGTTATCATACTGCAGTCACTCCAATTAACTAAATCAAGATACTTGACCAAGCGGTTGAGTAATATACACTTAATATTCAGTTCACCAAAGAGATTTATTTCAGTCCCATACCTTTGTGAGTTAGGTGATTTGTAACGTTTATTTTTGTTTTTAACACCATACTACTTATTTATTAATAATAAGCGTAGTCTTAGTTATGAGTAAAATTCAATCAACTCGATTGACGGTTTGTAGGCGTTAGCTGATTACATATCATAGATTGTAGTCAGTTGAAGAAAAAAAATCATTGGATGACTGTTTTATCCTCATCAGCTTGCATTGACAACAATACAATCGATCGGATCCAAGATCGTCAAGTATCACGGTGTAAGTTACCGTTCAGCCAGTGTATGTTACATTCCACTTTTCTGCATTTTTCTACTTGTTTCAACTGGTGATATAATGAGACCATCATTGTTTGTCATCGAGAAGTGAATATCATCACTCCCAACTTTGTCGATCCCACTCATTATGGTTATTTACAATCTTAATAACTGGGTCATGCAAGGTTGACAGGTAATATATGTATTGGAGTGTGAGGTTCTCAAGCATCATGTTTATTTCAGGGATCTTAGACCAACGGATTACTTCTGGAAGAAGTTAGATCTCTGGTACTGAATACAAGATGTAATGGATCATATTACGTGTGGTGAATGATCTGTCAACCAAAGTAAGCGATGTAGGTCTACTAGACGAAGTAACGCCACTTATGTTACCACTCTTATTTCAATACTTACAAGAAATGAAACTAGACTTCTTGAAACCTACACACACACACACACTCACACTTAGAAGATCTCGCATTTCATTCATGTTTGGATGACCAAAAATTGATAAGATGGACATACCAGTGAAACCTATTCTATCTATGATTAACTCTCCATATCATAAGCCTTTCTACTGGTTAGCAAAGATGTTGGAAAACACTCACTAGAAAGTGTCAGTATATACCTTGAAAGACTTTTTTAGTCTCACTGAAAGAATAATACATCTCAATTTACCGGACAAATTCATGGGTTTCGTATGATATAACTTCTCTATTCGTGAGTATACTTTTCCTTGAGACAATAGGCATCATTTAGCAAAAACACAGTAGATACCCCTTTGTCCAAAACAGAGATGAAGCGTCTCTTACTTCTGGGCTCCGTGCGCTGAATTTATCCGGGTACACCGCTAATAAGTTCGACCCCAAACAAGGGAAATGGTCTTTCGGTGTTTAGATCATTTTTATCAGATATCAGGCTGAGTAGTTTCCAACTGCTCAAGTTGTTCAATAGTAGTATCTTTTACTCTGATCAATTTTAGCATTGTGGTTAAAGTTATCCCCCCCCCCCCTATGATGTTCATTAGTGGCCTAATTGATCTTTGGATCACTGATTCAAAAAGAAACATAATTTAATCGATAGCCACCTATTTAGAGAAGTATATTGCACTATTATCTACATCCATTTGCGTTACGATTAATAATACTAACTGATTATTCAAGTTTATATGACAGGGTGTTTCGCACTTGTTACAGTTTCATCAAGTGTTTGGTTTGTACTCTACACACTTGAATTTAAACAACGAAATGATATATTATATATGATCTGTGCCCTATAAAGTTTGACGTTTATGCACACAAGTATACAAACAAATTTTCCCTAATATTGTTTAAATAAATTGCCTAATTTGACCAATATCCTTTTAAACGAGTCTTCTCTTTTTATTTCTTCTTTTCTTTCCGATTTATTCTTTGAAACAGTTACACGATCTAAGCAGTATCATAAGATGAGAACCAAGCAAAACCAAGATATATTAATTTGTGCATTGACATATAAAATCACACACCTTTTTTATGGAAAAAACAAAATGACTTTAATAATACTTTTTTGATATTACCTTACTTATTTTCTCTTGTTTTAGTAGTTTTATTAGACTGATATCAAAATATACCTTTACTACTTTCATCCTTTCAGTGTATTGCCTACGTTACGCGTTAATAATAGACTAATATACTCCGTTTCTCTGTTGTTATTTGCAGGCGAAATATTTTCTCAACACGGTGAAATTTTGTTCTGAGTTGCACTTAGCTTCGTTTTATGAGAGTATGTGCGTGTGTCTTTCAACCTTGTCACTGCTCTGATTGGCTATATATATGTGTGTGTGTGTTTGTCTGAATCTATCACTATACCGATTGATTGTTATGTGTCTGTGTTTCGATCTTGCACTGTTCTGATTGGCTATCTGTGTATGTTTTAATCATTACTATTATCCTGATTGGTTGTGCATGTAGGTGTTTCAATCTTTTTCCCTATCCGGATTGGTTGTGTATACTGGTTGCCTTTAGTTTATGTAAGGATTCACAATGAATAAGAACTTTTCTTTTTATAGCTGACACAGATAACGGTTTTTATCCTTGACTATCGTGAATACCAGTTATGATCATGATGCGCGATGAAATTGGGAAGAATGGAAGATGAGTAACACACGATCTAAAAGTTGTAGTCAGCTGTGTGCACCTAAATTCAATACAAATAAATGAAATTAGTGCCATTTTATACGTGATGTTAATACACATAATATTATGAAAGTGAAGGCATCGGACTTCTGTTTCATTTCGGTTTGGAAGTTCTCAGCTTTCAGCGTGTACGACCTTGGGAGGGATAGAGCTCTCAAGACCATCCAGGTACGCAGTGAGCACATTAAAGAATTTAGCTGTGTGAGCTCGGTAATAAAATGAACGAAACTGCCGTCCAAACTTTGGATCCGTCTGATCTGTAGCGAAATCTACACACATAGACGTAGTGTGAAGGCTAATGATACTACCTAGCTGCAAAAGACTGGGTAGGTGGAGCAGGGTTCGGACCCACTATCCATCGGTTGGGAGTCATCTCCGTAAATCAATGGATCATATCTCCACCTTGATGTCCCCTAACTTTAACGGTTGTTTCGTAGCTATATACTAGGACAGAGTGAACTGCAGTTCTGGTTCTTATGGATCCTAATATTTAGATAATTCTGTTCACGATTCAACTTTGAAAACAGTAAACAGCGGAGAGATACAGGACTTGCGTTTCGTCTTACCTGCGACCCATCAACTGCAAGTACTTGCACCCCAGTAGGTGGCAGTGTGTCATACATATTGTATGAGGGCTATTGATACTACCTGGCTGGCCAAACCACGTCAGTATTTGTAGCAGGATTCGAACCCGTGACTCATTGATTCATAGTCATCTCCCTGGACCAATGATCCATACCTCTACCATAACGCTCTTGCCACAAAAACTGGAGGTCCTTGGCTTGATCCCTCGCAGCGTCATAGGTGTGCGCTACTGAAGGGTTTCGTACTGTTATGGGATTTAATTTATGTCAAAAGTGTTCCTACGGACTATTCACAAGTAGTGTGAGTTAACTGTGTCCACACTAGAAGAAGCCGAACTTCAGAACAACGCAGGGACAACAAGGATTGCAGCTGCCATATGCATATCTCAGTCCCATCAAACAGTTTGTAGAAGCTCAGTCACACTGTTAAATACGTGTATATATAGTAACATAGTTCCAGTAGCATAGACTCAGCTGTGTTTAAAAAAACGACCAATAGGATTGTAGTATTAGCAAAAGTGGTATAGAACAGTAAATAAACAATAAGAATATTGTTACACATACAGGCGCTATTCATGGCTTGATCAGACATAAGGTTATTCATATGTCATACGCCTGTTTGAACAGTCAAAGTAATCAAAATGTAACTCTATTAAATCAAACAGTGATTATATTAACAGGATTGGATGAAGTACACGCTTTGCAATGACCGCATTAGAATCATAGTTATCCAAGCATGGTCCATATATCATAGTTGGTCACTGGAGAGCAAATCAATTTCATTTTGTCTACTGTGGGCTGAGCGAATTCACCATCAGATCACGGTGCAATATGATACAGGTTAGAGTAAATCAGTCAAAAGCCTTATTTTACATTGATTGATTTTGTGCTTGTTGGCACTCGTCAGCAAGGCGTAACGGTCCAAGTGTTACTCGGATCAACATGTATGCAAAGGGGAAGTGATATGTTTAACCTGAAGTATCATGAAGTTTGGAACTTCTATAAGACGCTTAGCATTATCAAATCGCAGTGAATATGGAAGGTATTGTGATGCCCCAGTTTGTATAAAACATTGTTATTAATCTGAACATTTTGACGTGTCATTCCCACACCATTTTTACGGTATGACTAGTAGTCTATTTTCTGCCCCCCACTGCAATGTAGATCGCTGATTGGTTAATCTCTACTCTTACTATGCAAATACCTTAAATTGAGGACAAGGTCATTTTCCATGTGTGTACTTATTCACGTGTTTGGGGATTGATTATCATAATGTATTCTCGGAGTAATAAACTCTCCCATCATCGAGCTTTGGTCTTCTCTCTGTTCGTCCTGGGGTTGCAGTCGGTGTCTTTTGCGTACTAAGTTAGCTGTCAGCTAAGCTTGCGTATTATATTCGTTTCGGAATATATATAACCATTAGCGTACGAAAATATAACAGAAGGTAACTAAATAAATTTGTGTAGCAACAAAAAAGAGCGCAAATAAAGTGAACCTGTTGAATTACTACTTCAGCGAGATTTTCTTGGTTGACAATAACGGCAAATGTAATCCCTCCCCTCCAAATGGCGTATGTTTCGTTGGATAGGGAAATCACGTTGCGATAATTCACTAGCCTGAAGACTGGTAAGTTACCAGGTCCCAATGAAGTACACCGTAGGTGGGTTACTAGCTTCCTTTGGTGTAATTCATCGGCCACTCACGGAGATATATCTTTTTCTCAGGCTCCATTACCTTTTGTATGGGAAGCCATTGTGGTTGATCTCATTATCAAGTACGTTAATCGGCAACTAATTACTGACTGTCTCTCCACATGTCCTACTTGTATGATTGCAAAACTCTCGAAAAAAAAGTAGTGGGTCATGTGAAAACATGACGAATTCGCTGCTATTCTGAGAAGACAATATGGGAGCTAGAAATAATAAAACGTCCTGTTCATGTGGTGTCTCATCCTAGCTTACTAATTTCAGTATGAACGTCAGTCAACATGCAAGAACAGTTTAAGAAATAATTGAATGATAAGAGGCAGAGAATCAGAGTGAATACTGAGTCTATAGGTGAAAACCAGTTACTAGTGGGGATCCTTCAGAGTATAATACTCTAAAAACGGTACGTAGTAAGATAGTGACATAACTTTCTCGCCTTCTCCAAAAAAGCGGTGTGGAAGTTTTAACTGTATCGCATCTCAAGCAAACAAGTGACTTTCTTTTCGCGCATAGTATCTCAGATAGCAATTCGGGTGTCAATCTGTCTGGTGTTTTAACCCTTTCTATAACTACTTATCTAAGTAGTCATTATTATTATTATTGATTGTCCCTTGGGTTCCTAATGGAACATAGGGCTTCAGTAGCACGTCTCCATTGCACTCTGTTCTCTGCAGACTTTTGAATCTGGTTCCACGGCAGCCCACAAGCCCTCGTTTCTTCCTCGCACAATCTCCTCCATGTCACCCTCACCCCGAACTCGTCACTTCCCATAGGGGTTCCACTCGAGCAACTGCCCTGGAGCGTGATGTCCTATAATGGTCTTCTCAGTGTATGCCCAATCCAATCCGTCTCCACTTCCTTCCACTGCATATTTGTTGAGCGATAGGTTCTTGGTTGGTTCGTTGACAACCAGCCAGCCAGAGTTCCTTGTTGCTTATTCTCATTATTCTGGCCATCTGATCTTCAGTAACGAGCCAGCGTAGGAAGTTGTTGATGAATGTCTGTAGTTTGTTGGAAATACCTTTCGTAACGCGCCAAGTCTCTGAACCATTACACAGAAGCACTGACTTGACGTTGGTGTTGAAAATCCAGATCTTGTTCCACATGCTGAGTGCAGAAGATCTCCACACTGGTTTCAGGCTAATGAACGCCTATCTTGCTGTCTTTCCTATCCTGGCTAGCTTTGACGTCTTCATCTATGCCTTTGCCGCATGTAGTTGAAACGATGCTGCCCTGCCTAGATAGGTGAAGGAGGCTACTCCCTTCAAGTTCCTCCCGTTGATGATGATTGGAGCTTGTTGTTGTTGTTGTTGGTGGTGGTGGTGTTGGTTAGGTAAATTCATCACCTCCGTCTTCTCTGCGTTCACTTGAAGTCCCGTCTATGCTGCCCTGCCTCTTCTGTCAACTTGTTAGTTTTCGCCTGTAGATCTTCAAGTTTGTGTGACATTAAACATAAGTCATCGGCGAAATCCAAATCTTCTAGGTTCTTTTCCGCGGTCCAGCGTTTCCCCCTATTCTCGCTCTTCACTGTTGTCTGCTGCATGGTCCAGTTGACCACAATCAGGAAAATCATGGGTGACAGTAGACAGCCTTGTTTTACTCCTGTCCTCACTTCACTTCGAAGGCGTCACTGAGCTTCCCATTGTGGATAACTTGGCATGTGGCGTCTTCATATAGCTGTTGAATGAGGTAGATAAGGATTTGTGTTATTCCGTAGTGTTGAAACCTCAGGTGCTGAATTACTTGTCGGTCGACGCTGTCGAAAGCCTTTTCAAAGTGGATGAAGTTGAGGTAAAGATCCAGTTGACTACCATTCTATACTATGTTCCTATGATGATGCGTAGCGTAGGGTTTCAATTTGATCCGCACATGATTTGTTCTTCCTGAAGCCAGCCAGCTTGTTCTGCTCGTAATTTCAAACCCAGCGCATTTTTAGTCTCTCCAGGATAATGCGGCTTAATATTTTGCTTGCTTTGGATGGACAGCAGCATGATTCCTCGTAAGTTCTTGCAAAGGCTTAGGTCTCTTTTGTTTGGAGTTTGACAAGGTAGCCCTTCTTCCAACCAGTCGGCAGGTACTTTTCCTTCCTTCCTTCCTTCCAAACCTTCTGCAGTAGTGGTGTGAGCATGTTCGCTGCTGTCTCTGCGTCTGTTTCAGTGCTTACTGGGTTGTTTGCGCTA